GTCATAGTATAGGTTAGTTTAGGATTTTTCTTTTCTTTTTCTCTTATTAAGTGGGGACAGCTTCGAGCCTTTTTTGTGTTTATTTTCCTTTAAGTATTTTTTACTCAATTTGAATATTTTAAAAGTCAATTAGATCGGGTACGCAACCGTGATTTTCACGGGACTCGGGGAATGCCTAATACCTTCTCCCCGAGTCAAATGAACCACTTATCTAGAATTTCTGGTGCAAACTAATTTAAGAGTCAAATGTGTGAAGGAAAATTGTTATTTTAAAAATGGTGACATGGCATACCGAAACCAAATGTCAGGTGGCAACTCTGAAAACCTTCGAAACGCAATATTTTTGTCACTTTCAAATTGAAAACCCTTTTGAGCTTTACAAAATCTTTTTTTATTAATTTTAAGAGAGTTAGTGAAGTGAAAAAAGGGGTGTGACAACATACATTAGGCAAAAAAAAAAACCTTGTAATCGAATTGCAGTAAATAACTACCTGATCTAAATATTGCAACACAGATGGTATGTGCATACCAACGGATCCACTTGCATTACCTCATATGTGCCTATATCTTCATGCAAAAAAAAAATAATAATAATACTGACTAAATTTTAAAAATATAATAAATACACTTGACACCTATGTGTGAGCCAACAAGTGTGAATAGATGTATTTCTCTTTTTTCATATAGTCGAATGAGCTCACCAATTTCTTTTTCGGCTGCATTGACTCTTTCTGAATAATCATCAAAAAGCACAAAAAAGAAAAGAAAGTATACCTGTAGTGACAACTTCCTGTGTCTCTGCATGTAAAAGTTCTTGGCAAATAGCTAATGCTTCCGTAAACGCATTGCCTTTCCCAATAGGAGTAACCACATCATTCGATGTATGTTCTTAAGTACCAACACTTTCATGATTTGCATCCGCAAATACATTGTCTTTTGCAATAGGACTACCCAAAGCACAGGTCGGTACATGTTCTTCAGTACCGATAACTTCATTTTCTGCATCTTTCTTGCTTCCTATATTCTCGGTTAATAAATTTTCATCATATCCAGCAATTTTGCTCAGTTTATCAACACTAGAACATTCCGCTTCAACTTGGTGTTCAACACATTGAACTTCCTCTAATACTTGAACGTAGCCTTCAAGAGCTGCTTCCTCACCTCTTACATTTTCATCTACGACTCTATGCAGTGCATCGTGAGAAGCATTAATATCCGATTGAGGTTCGAAAAAGTCGTTCATCCTACCATATTATCGATAGTTCATCAATTCAAAATCTGCATCACCATCATCTATTCCTTTTGATTTGTCGACAATCTTAAACAACTTTTCAAACTTCTCAACAAAATATTCCTATAAAGAATTACTAACAATGATTAATCTGAATAAAGAAATTACATTAATAGGAAAAAAAGAGTTCTCTGTCAATAAACTTACCTTGACTTTTTTCACAACCTCATCCACAATAGCAGATCGCTCCCCGGTCGAAACTCTTGAACAACTTCTTTTGCGATCATACACCTTTCTTCTTTTGCATGGCTTTTAACCTCCCTTGCTACCCTCTAGTATAGAAATAAAAATAGCATAATAATTTCGGAAAATAGAAACACAGAGCAAAACATCAGCTCTAAGAATGCTGAAGTTCAACAAATACAGAACAAAACTTCAGCTCTAAGAATGTTGAAGTTCAACAAATATAGAATAAAACTTCAGCACTAAGAATGCTGAAGTTCAGCAAATACAGAACAAAACTTCAGCTCTAAGAATGCTGAAGTTCGGCAAATACAGAACAAAACTTCAGCTCTAAGAATATAAAAGTTCAGCAAATACAGTACAAAATTTCAGCCAAAACATGCTGTAGTTTTAAAAATACAGAACACAACTTCAAAACTCCAAGAATGTTGAAGTTCATAAAAAACAAAACAAAAACTGCAACTAAAACATACTTTACTTTACAAAACACAGAACAATACTTCAGCTCATATAATGCTAAAGTTCATCACAAACAGAACAAAAACTACAGACAAAACATGCTGTAGTTTTACAAAACACGAAACAAATTCAGCTCAAAAAACAATGCTGAAGATCAAAATACATAACAAAAATATCACATAAAACATCCTATAATTAAGCAAAAAATAGTATGAAAAACTTTATAATAAATAAACAAAATAACTTACATGACATATTGTGTTGACTAATTCATAGTCAAACACCATTATAGAACGGTTAGAACGACTCTGGGTACGAGGTGATTCTCCAATTATAGGAGTTCGATCAGTTTTTTTTAATCGACTCTGACTATAAAGTGATTCACCAGTTGAAGGAACCAGATTCAGTACTTTTGAACGAATGAGACTACTTGGTAATTGTCCAATTAAAGGTATTGAATTCAATTCCTCTTCGGTAGGAATTATATCCAATATCCTAAATGTGCGATATTTCTGTTTAATACAGAAAAATATATTATGAAAAATAAAATAAAACTGATACATCAACATATTAACAAAACTACAGAAAAAAAGTAAAAATAAAGAACATTAACTTACACCATGATTACTGAAGTAATCTTCATGAAGTTATTTAAATTTAGGCTCTCCCAAAGATATATAACGTAACATCCAGGGAACCTGAGGGGCATCAAATAAGTCGTCATCTTTTAAATACTTGTCCTGAATATCTGGGAAGCGCTCATAGAACCAAATACGTAATGGATATGAAAATCCGCCTACAGTATTCTCAGTTGGATTATTTTTATCCTGGTTGTCCAAAAAATATTTCATTGAGGTAATAAACTTCTCATAAGACGCAATATCCCAAGGATAATCAGGACAAGCCTGATCGTTTTCAACAATAGCTGCATACTCATCCAACACAGTTGATTCATTCTTTCTTCCGAATAAAATAGACTCCACAACAAGAATTTTCATAAGCTTCACAGCATCTTCATCACTCTCGCATACGTGTTTGATATTCACATCATCCTTTTTAATTTTATTCTGTATCATATAATCTCGAATGTCCTTCAAGGTCACACCCTTAGACTTCCCAAAATAGCGCTTCAAAATCTTGCTCTCTCATTTAATTATTTTTTTAATATTATGCGTTGTGATCCTCAAACCGCACATAATGTGAAAGTCTTCGAGGCTGAACGTCACATCACAGTCAAAAATCTTGAAACTAATGGAATCTCGATCATTGGTGAATACACAAGAAAGAATCAAACAATGAACCAACTTCATGTTGCAATGAAAATTCTCCATAGCCATAATATACCGAAATATACCATTATTTAGCTTCTCCTGTTTTGTAGGAGTCAAGAAAGTTATAATTAAACCCTTCAAATCATGGTTCCCCTTCCAGTAAGCATGACAGTTAAACCAATCTCGAAACTCAGAATATCTCTCCCCTGGTTTTGTAGATACATAAACAGGGACTGGAGGAGCGTTACGTATTCTAGGTGCTTTAGGATCTTTAGGTGCTTTGGATTTTTCAGATGCCATCTGTTCAAAAATATTACAGGTGGGATAAGATATATTTTCAAAACTTCAGAGAAATACAGAACAAAACTTCAGAATATTTTCAAAAAAATCATTAAAAACTTCATCACAATTTGGCTTAAGATATATTTTAAAGCCCTCTAACTTCAGAGAAATACAGAACAAAACTTCAGGTCTAAGAATGCTGAAGTTCAGCAATTACAGAACAAAAACATCAGCCAAAACATGCTGTAGTTATAAATAACTTCAGAACATTATCAAAATAAATCTTTAAAAACTTCAGCACAATTTGGCTTAAGTTATATTTTAAAAGCCCTCTAACTTCACAGAAATACAGAACAAAACTTCAGCTCTAAGAATGATGAAGTTCAGCAATTACAGAACAAAAATATTAGCAAAAACATGCTATAGTTTTTACAAATACAAAACACAAAATTCAACTCCAATACTGTTGAAGTTCATCAAAAACAAAATAAAAACTGTAGACAAAACATGCTTTACTTATACAAAACACAAAACAAAATTTTAACTTCATACTTTAACAGCATCATCTATTTAAGTCTCAAAATTTTTAAAAATTTTAACGTCTCCAGAAATCACTGAAGAATATATAGAATTTTCATTAAAAATACAAACACATTTTAAAAAACCTAAAAACACTACTCGTAAAAGTAAAACCTACAGAACTAATGCACTAATCAAAGTAAACCCTAGGAAACTATTTTAGCACAAATAAAAAAAGGAAAACAATTCAACTAAAATTACTATTAACAAAAAACCTAGAAATTAAAAACTAATCCTAAAATTAAAACCCCATACAAAGTTAATGCGGTGTCCAAAAGAAACCATTAAACTCGTACCTGTGAATACTTAATGTTGTTGAGGAAGAAACAATTGCAAAATCATCAAGAATAAAATGCCGAAAACCGTTTGATTTCAGAGAAGAGGAAATCAAAACCGCGAAGGAGAGAGAGATAGAGACAAGAGACAATATGCCGTATACTTGGAGAGAAAGTAGTCTTTTAATAAAGAAGGAAAAAATTATCTTTCTAAAACGCTTTTAATAAAAAACAAATACGGATGCAAACAGAAAAACAAAGTGGGTACAAGTTAAAAAGGGGCGACCAAATAAGGCAACCCATACAATTTTTACTACTAATATTGTGTTGACTCACGGTCAATAGATGGGCCGTACAGGTCCGGCTATTTTCTTAATTTTGACCGTTCCTTAAATATAATTGTCAATGTGACAGTTTAGTATATTTCGAATTGTGAAATAGGTAGCACAGTGATGATTGATGAACGATGAATTGTAGAGATTTCTGTGATTAAAGAATAAATCCTTAATTCGTAAAGGCAACTTCTGGTGTCAGCTAATTTGTTTGTAGATCAATGAATTGCTTTGAATTTGAAGTAGACCAAGAGACGGATTCAGGATTTAAAGTTTATGGGTTCTTATAGCGACCTTAAATAAATATACAATAAGTAAATGGGTTCACAATCAAATATTTTTATGAATATTTAGTGGATTTTGTAATATATATACAGAGTATATACAAAAGCTATTGGGTTCTCGGGAACCCACATATAATAAGCTGGATCCGCCCCTGAGGAGACCCTACTACAGAAGAATTTTATAAATTAAATTACTAGTATACAAACATGTAGTGAGTTGTACCGAATACAACACTCTCACACCTGCCTATAATCACTAGTTACATTTATCCCGAATAGGAACCAATATTTAACATGAGTGACGCAATATCAGCATTCAGTCCACTCCAAGCAAAATCCTCAGTGAAAAAAGATTTCTCCATCCAAATGTTGCAGCCTATTTCATTGAGCTGTCCGAAACGCAACTCCATTCCCCTAAAGTGAATGTACCTTTGCTATCAGAAAGATTTGAATTAATACTAGTACTACGTAGGAGTATACAAGAAACACATTCAAAACAAATCACCTAACTTTACTAAATTATTATTCGTAGCCCAAAAAATAAAGTTATGTGACAATGCTTATATATCGTATTAAATTATTTGTAATAAAAAAGTCACTAAACTTTGCAAATTAATATCATATAAAATGTCCCTTTATTTTCTCCTAGTGACTTTTAATGATACTTAAGCTTACACATTAATTATAAAACATCTTAGTTCATACATAACTACTCATCCTCCTAATAATTTTATTAGGTTGGAGATCTGTTCTGTAGTTTTTTTCAAAAACATTATGAAAACTACCGAGTTACTCTGACGGCGTAATATTTGTGCTATGAGTTCAACTGGAAATGAAATTAAACAAGAGCTAAACAACTTTTTAATAAATGCAATTGGGAAGCTGCAAAACCTTATTTGAAAGTACGGCTAGGTGTCAATGGCTAACCCCATCACGATATTGGTGGTTTATATATATATATATATATATGTATTGAAAGAATTCCCAAAATACAAAGGGAATGCTTCATTAGTGAAATAAAGTTTATACTCTTTTCTATTCCCACAAAAGAACCAGAGGAAAGAAAAAAAACTGTACAAAATTAAAAGGAGAATATCACAAAATTAAACTTACCAAAAATATTTATGAGTATATGAGACAATCAATAGGATCAGCTTTCGTCAACTCCCCTTTATCTTGAGGTCCATGCCCAAACTGAACTTTCACATCATTGCAGTAAATTCGCAGTCTCTCATTTTTCGATTCAGTCTTTGAAGTATATTGAAACCCTAAATAAATCTGCAGTGTAAATTTCAAAACTCCATTATCTCTCTCCCCCGTAGCTTCTGATAAAATTCCTTTATCCAAGAAAGTTCCAGGTGACGTTGTCAAATTGGAAAATAAAATAGCCGAACTTTGGGACGCCAAATTGAAAGGATCAACAGGAGTCTCAGCCAAAACATTCGTCTTGTATAAAATGGCAGTCTTTCCAGTATTCAATTTTATATCTAAGTCGTTATTCGAATTTTTCATGGACACATTGACCTGCCAATTGCCTAATATTGAGGTGCTAGTAATCATAAGACTAGAAACTTGTATCGATACTAGATGAAATTCAGGCTTCTCCGTGCCAAATAAAAGCCAAATGACTAAACTGAACATGATCATTCCAATAATCAAGATTAGCATCATGGTAGTCATATAACGACCAAATGACGCCCTACTATTGTTTTCTTCTTGCAATGGCATGTACTTTTGGGAATAATTCACATAGAATGTAGCATCGGCGCCTAAAGGGTATGAATTAGGGTTATAATTACTAGGATATCCTTGAGCTGGCATAATATAACTAGGAGGATGAAGAACATTACTATTATTATCATATGATGAAGGGAATATTGCAGCTTGTTTATGAGAAATTTCGTTGTGTCTAGCCATTGAAGGGTAAACCATGACAGTTTTTTGTTGGTTTTCAATATCCTTTGAGTAATCCATGACTAGAACAACGACTTTTTTCCCCTCTCACCTTCTTTTCTAAATCAGGGAGAAGGACAGAAACATATGGAAAGTTAATGGAAAAATGAAAATGGAAAGTGGAATGATTCCAAGTGTTTTTTTCTTAAGTGAAGAAGAGGTTAGCTAATGTTGATGGGATCGAGTGTAATGGATAAGAGAATATTAGCATAGGGGATTCACGAAAGAAAATGTGGCGTTTAACGCAAGGATTGGAGGGAAGAGTAGAATATCAACCATTTGTAATTGATATATATAGGCCTTTAATTGAGGACTTGAAACATAGGAGGAGATCAGTAGAAGAAGGAATTTGTGATGAATTACACTTTTCGGGTTCAAAGCATCTTATCCCAACACACACACACACACACACACACACGCACACACACACACATATATATATATATA